GAAATCCACACACTGGAAGGCATTCCTATCAGTGCGTGAGTACCTTTTTTGCCTCTTTGGAAATGAAGTCGCTGAAACCAAACCTGGAAGTTAGGAGAAATTTCTTTCATTAAATATATTAATGTTAGTGTATTATAGATTTGTGTTGGGGGATCCCAAAACCACCTTAGGTTCAATGAATCAACCCAGAAAAGCTGTTTTTCTCCTGGTTACCCTTCATTCCTACAAAAAGATATAAGATTAAAAATTAAAATCAGCAGAAGAAAAAGACTAGTGGGACCTGGTGTGAGGTTCCCATTGTCTTTTCCCAGTGGAAGTGCATACACAATGCTTAATTCTCTCAGCAATGATTTATATGACAACATGGGCAAGTGTTGCCAACTAGTGAAGCTCACCTAAGCCTTGGTGTCCAGGGATTTTAGTGTGGGTCAGTCAGAAAAGCATTGAGCACCTGTATGACTGGCCTTAGGTACTCAGTCTCCAGCCTTCCTCCCACTTTCTCCCTAAAATCAAACTAATACAGCATTGACTGAGGCCACAGGCAAACAAAAACAGGTGTTCACCATAAATCGTATTGTTAACATGAACTGTCATGGGCAAAGCCCCAGATAAACTGAAACGCTGTAATCAGGCACGTATTCCAGTGGCACAAAGTTTATTTCCCAGAAATAAGGCAAAGACCAGGAACCCTGAAATGTACAGGGTTTGGGCCTCCAGGTCTGCTGAGTTAATTCTTTACTGTTCATAGGCCATTAATGGGAGAAAATGTTTTTATATAAGATAATCGGTGAATTTGAGTATAGTAAGTAATACTAAATATATGTAGATTCTCTTTATTGAACACTTAGCTATTAAATCCATTTTCTGTCTTAGATTTCAAATACAAATTGTCTATATAAGGTATTAATTTTATATCCTAGGGTTTGTCATCCCTTTAAAAGCCCTGTTTGTGCTTCTGTAAGGTAAGAGTTCTCAGTCACTTAACATTATTGATATGATAAGTCGAGTCTAAGGAATCTTTGATTCATCAGTGTTTCAAATAGTTAAAGAACAGAGGAAGAGTTAAGATAGTTATAGTTTAAAACTATGAGTAGCATAGGTGGTTTAGTAGCTGTTGATAGCTGATTTCAGCCCATTTCATTAGTTAGCCAAATATTTCAATGAAATTCCTCCCTGCAAGATTGTTCATAAGTGTTTGAGAGCCTTTGTCATGAATATTCACTGAGCCCTCAAGTACACCATTTCTTAAATGTTTTACTTTCTTATTTAGTCATCATGTCACTTATTTTTTAACTTAGTGTTAAAAAAAATTGGCACAATACTCTCATAATAACTTGCTGACTACAGATAGAAAAATCTTCCAGACCTAAACTTTGATATTCTTATGTTTTCTGACTTAATTTTTAAAAGGTAAGTGTTTTCAAATAGTGGCATCACTGGGAAAAACTGAATCCATTTTGCAAAAAAGAATTATAGCTGTTATAAGATTATAAAGACTTAATGAAAGAATAAATTAGCTTTAAGTACAGGATACTAAAAATTTGTTTAATGGAACAGCTGTTCAATATAAGAAATGCCTTAGCCACATATGTACTTTGCCTTTGCTTATTCTTTTAATATACTAAATGGAAAGTTTTCTGTTTTATGCTTTTTTAATGCAAATAAATTTTTATAGCCAGATTAAAAAATTTGTTTCCTTATTCCTTAATTATTCTCTGAAAAATAAGAACTCATTACCTAAAACAAACATATTGAAGATTGATAGGCTCTTATTACTATATGAATTTATTGTAATAAATATACATATCAAGAGCTCCCTTTGTAATTTCTCAAAAACATGCCACAGACATCATGCATGATTTTAGACACACAATGCCAGCCCCTCAAGTATACAGTTAGGAGTATTAACATATAGCATCATGCAGCTAATAATGATATTTCTCAAAAGAACTGTAATAAAATTATTATATCAGTGCCCACCAGAAATTTAGCTTTAGATAGTTTATTTAAATAATTTAGATAGCTTCCTCAAGCAATTAAAAAAAGATACCTAGATTATAACTGCTTACCAATCTGCCTTCACAGAAGAAGCAATAAATTCTACCATGTATTCTTTATTTTCTTTTTGGTGTTGTAGTTAGTAATCTAGTGTGTCAACCTTGCAAGTATATTTGTTAATAATTTTAAAGATAATGTATTTTTCTCAGCTGAAGTGTTAGCTTTTAAAGAGTTATGTTTTCTGTTTTGTGCTTTGAGTTTCCACTTAGAAATCCATATGAAAATAGTTTGGTAATTAATTACTTTGAACCTGATGAAATTTAATCTAAAACCAGTTCTGATCATCTGATTGGAGAATGATATTTATTTATTTATTTTTTTTTTTGTATTTCATATACACAGATTTATTTTTTTTTTCTTTTTTTTTTTTTTTAACTTTTATTTAATGAATATACGTTTCCAAAGTACGAATAATGGATTACTATGGCTTCCCCCCCATACCGTCCCACCCACATCCCTCCCCTTTCCCACTCCCTCTCCCCTTCCATTCACATCAAGATTCATTTTCGATTATCTTAATATACAGAAGATCAGCTTAGTATACATTAAGTAAGGATTTCAACAGTTTGCTCCCACACAGAAACATAAAGTGAAAAATAATAGATGATTTTTTTTAATGATGATGAAATCAGATCGGACCTATTGTCATGTTTAATCCCAGTGAGAGTCAAGTTGGGAGTTGATAGTTTTGCCCCAAATGGTAGAGTTAGAAACATACCAGGGGACTCCAATTTAATCCCATCAAGGTGGCATGTACCAATGCCATCTCACTAGTCCAAGTGATCAATTTCAGTTCGCAATTGATCATAATGAAAGGACTAAGAGTCAAAGGGAGCACATAAGCAAGTCTAGTACCTGCTAACACTAACCGATAGAATAAATAAAGGGGAGAGTGATCCAACATGGGAAGTGAGATACTCAGCAGACTCATAGAATGGCAGATGCCCTAAATAGCACTCTGGCCTCAGAATCAGCCCTAAAGGCATTCAGATCTGGCTGAAAAGCCCATGAGAGTATTTCAGGCATGGAAAGCCAAGACACTCTGGCAAAAGATCTCTGTGAGTGAGATCTCAGTGGAAAGAACAGGTCTTCAAAGAAGGAGGTACCTTTCTCTGAAGGGAGGAGAGAACCTCCACTTTGACTATGACCTTGTCTAAACAAGATAAGAGTCGGAGAACTCAAGGGGCTTCCATAGCCTTGGAAACTCATGACTGGAGCATAGGGAGATTACTGATGCCATAGACAGGAGTGTCAATTGGTAAAGTCAACAACAGGAGTCACTGTGCACTTACTCCTCATGTAGGATCTCTGTCCTTAATGTGCTGTGCATTGAGATTTAATGCTATAATGAGTACTCAAATAATATATTTCACTTTGTGTTTCTATGGGGGTGCAAACTGTTGAAATCTTTACTTAATGCATACTAAACTGATCCTCTGTAAGAAAAAAAAAAAAAAAAAGAAAAGAAAAGAAGAGAATGATATTTATTATGCTTCAGTCAGGATTCTGCACTCAGTACAATATAAACAGGCCTGTTCCCAGAAGCACTGTGTATGCTTACTGAATTGGAAATAAAATCTTGGTTTGCTTTGGAAGAAGCTTATTTTTAACTTGAAACGTAATCTTAGCATTTAAGAATATGGTTGGTGCAGGTCTTCTGTACTAGAAGCAGTTACATCCTAAATCCAGTGAAAATGAGAAGTCTAGTGGGATGACCGTGCATCCAAGTTGGTTGGGACAGTCTTGGACTTTGCTAATCTTAGTACAATTATTAATAAGTTCCCCCTTTCACTTGTAGAAGTATTTCTGTTTGAATGGTAAGTTTTGGCAGTGCTTAAACAAGAATTTCTTGTCACACAGAAATATGTGTGTGGGGGCCGGTGCCGCGGCTCACTAAGCCTAGTAATCCTCCGCCTTGTGGCGCCGGCACACCGGGTTCTAGTCCCAGTTGGGGCACCGGATTCTGTCCCGGTTGCCCCTCTTCCAGGCCAGCTCTCTGCTGTGGCCTGGGAGTGCAGTGGAGGATGGCCCAAGTACTTGGGCCCTGTACCCCATGGGAGACCAGGATAAGTACCTGGCTCCAGCCATCGGATCAGCGCGGTGCGCCAGCCGCCGCGGCCATTGGAGGGTGAACCAACGTCAAAGGAAGACCTTTCTCTCTGTCTCTTTCTCTCACTGTCCACTCTGTCAAAAAAAAAAATAAAATAAAAAAAAAATAAAATAAATAAATAAAACAAATTCTTAAAAAAGAGAATAAATTCTCGACCTAACCACCACTTTGCCAGTATTTGGTCAGCCTTTTTATTCACTTAATATCTGTGGTGGTTTTAAAAATATAATTTTTCATTTATTTAATCTTGCAGAAAGTTTATGTGGGCCCAATGAAAGATTTTGTGATGAAGAAAGAATTAGAAGTGTACTTTGGATTTTATTTACTCGCATATTTATTTGAGAAACAGTGCTCCTGTTCACTGGTTCACTCCCCCAAAGGCAAATATTGGATTATGGACCAAGTACTTGGGCCCCTGCTACTCACATGGGAGACCTAGGTGGAGTTCAGGCTCCTGGCTTCAGCCTGGCCCAGCCCTGCCTATTGTGGCCCTTTAGGGAGTAAAACCAGTGAATGGGAGAGATTCATTTCTCTCTCTCTCTCTCTCTCTGTCTTTCTCTCTTTCTCTGTGTGTCTGTGTGTATTATGTGTGACTCTGCCTTTCAAAGAGATTAAAATAAAGGAAGCATTTTTAAAAGATTTAATGTGGTAGTAAACACTATCTCAAACACTTTATTCATACCCATTTTAAAGTGAACAAACTATAGCTTAGAGAATTAAATAACTTGTCAAAAGTCACTTAGAAATGACAGCACTGTGCTGTTTCCTAACGGCTTTCCTCAAGGAGAATACATTCCGTGGGGGAAGAGACAAGATGTAACGAAGTAACAGTATGCTGGCTTCAGCAGCACATGTGCTGAAACTGGAATGACACAGAGATTAGCATGGCCCCTGCACAAGGATGACACAAATTCGTGAAGCTTTCCATACTTTTTCTATTTATGTAAATTAAAATTTTAAATTAAAAAAGTAACTATCATGTGTGGTAGAATTTGCCAAAAGAATATAGACAGGGAGTGTGAGACTTTAAAAGAAAGAAAGATTATTTTAGATAGAAAACAATAATAAGGAAACTGTGTTGAAAAAAAGACATATCAGGTAAGCATTAAAGAGTGCATTAAAAAAGGATGGCTATTCCAGATTGAGTATAAGGAGCATCTTTGGGAAATGGTAAGTCAGCCAATGGTCTACACTTGTGTTCAACATGCACAAATAATGAGAAATTATGCTATGGGGCCTAGTCACAGAAGACCTTGAATGTTGAACTAAGGAAAATGATCTTTATTCAGTAGGCATTGGGGGCCCAATAAAAGATTTTCATGATGAAGAAAGAAATGTACATTGAATTTTATATATTTGAGAAACAGACAAGGGGCCAGTGCTGTGGCATAGCAGGTAAAGCTACCGCCTGCAGTGCTGGCATCCCATATGGGCATCTGTTCAAGTCCTGGCTGCTCCTTGCAATCCGGCTTCCTGCTAATGCACTTGGGGAGGCAATGGAAGGTGGTCCAAGTTGTTGGGCCCCTCTGCACCTACATGGGAGACTGGGAAGAAGCTCCTGACTCTGGGCTTTGGATCAGCCTGGTTCTGGCCATTTCAACCATTTGGGGAGTGAACCAGTGGATGTAAGATATTTTTTTTTCTCTCTCTCTGTAACTCTGCCTTTCAAATAAATAAATAATAATTTTTTTTAAAAGGTTTATGTATTTATTAATTTGAAAGGCAGAGAAAGAGATAGAGATCTTCATCGCTGGTTCACTCCCCAAATGGCCGCAACGGCCAGGGCCAGACCAGGCCAAAGCCAGGATCCAGGAGTTTCTTCCAGACTTCCCATGTGAGTGCAAGGACCCAGGGACTTGGGCCATCTTCTGCTGCTTTCCCAGGCCATAGCAGAGCTGGTTCAGAAGTGGAGCAGCCAGGACCTGAACCAGCACCCATATGAGATGCCAGCACTGCAGGCAGTGGCTTTACCCACTATGCCACAGTGCTGACCCCAAATAAATAAATCTTAGAAAGAAACAGACAGTGTTCCCATTCACTCGTTCACTCCTCCACATGTGAACAGTGGCTGGGACTGGGCCAGAGTCAGGAGCCAGGAAGGCAATCCAGGTCTCCCACATAGGTGGCAGGGACTCAGTAGCTTAACTCAGCAGTCAGAACTGGTAATCTAACCCGTATATTCCCATGTGGAACACAACTGTCAACAACTATATGCTAAATGCCTGCTCCCAGAAGTGTAGTATAAAAACTTAACAGGGAGTTTCTGTTTCATATAATGAAAAAGTTCTAGAATTAGTTAGTGGTAATGATTACAATCTTGAAAATATACTCAATGCCATGAAATTGTTTGCTGAAAATGATTTAAGTGGTAAATTTTATGTAATGTATATTTTACCATAACTAAAAACATAAATAGTAAACCACCATGACATGGATCTCATTGGAATGAGAGGCACTGACTGTTGTGCAAGATTGTTGTGAATGGAGAAGAGAACGATACCTGGCATCTTCCCAGGTGGTTTCTTGCAATATGCATTGTTTGTTTTATGATTTAATTTTCAAACTTCACCCTCAGCAAAGATGTACCAGCAGGTAGAGTAAAATGCAGCAATCATTGCCATTATCTTTAATGAGTTCATGGTCTAGTAGGAGTGACAGTTAGTTTTTAAATTATTACAGTCTCATAGTGATAAGTTTTGCAGTAGAGATACAACCAAATTTTCCTACAGATAAAAAACTAGCCTGCCTTCATTTCTAATCAGGGAAGGGCTTCGATGACTTTTCTGCAACTTACAAGTTTCATAGAATAAAACATTTTTGGGGGCAGATGTTTAGTCTAGCAGTTAAGACATCCATATCCCATATCAGAGTACCTGGGTTTGATTCTCAGCTCCAGTTCCTTACTCCATGGGTTCATGTAATCCTTTTTGCCCATCTGTTGTAATTATATAACAGTATCCAACAATGTTGATAGATGACACATGTTAAGTGCACGTTAGAATACTCATCCCTAAAATGTTATTGAGTACTATGACCAAATGGATAAGGTACTGTGTTAGTTCATATATCTCGACAGACAAGGCAGATCTTTTAAAATGGATCATCATTTCATTTCATCCTTTCTCAGCTACTATAAAAGGTACTCAGTATCTGAATTGAATTATCTCATAGACCTCTTCTAGATTCTTCCTACAGGTTTTTGTTCTCTGTATTTTGAATCCTCCCTGTCCTCCAGAAGTATTCTTTTTAATAGCTTAGACTTTGAATCTCTGATGAAAAATGAACTACACTGGGCCGGCGCCGCGGCTCACTAATAAGCTAATCCTCCGTCTGCGGCGCCGGCACCCCAGGTTCTAGTCCCAGTTGGGGCACCGGATTCTGTCCTGGTCGCTCTTCCTGTCCAGTTCTCTGCTGTGGCCAGGGAGTGCAGTGGAGGATGGCCCAAGTGCTTGGGCCCTGCACCCGCATGGGAGACCAAGAGAAGCACCTGGCTCCTGGCTTCGGATCAGCGCTGTGCGCTGGTTGCAGCGCACCAGCCACACCGACCACTGGGGGGTGAACCAACGGCAAAGGAAGACCTTTCTCTCTCTCTCTCTCTCTCTCTCTCTCTCTCACTCTCACTGTTCACTCAGCCTGTCAAAAAAGAACTACACTGGTGATGGTTGCACTGGGTGCATAAGGAAGTATCCATATGTTGGTATGTGTAAAGACTTTGCCTCCTTCAAAATGTTTCTACTGCTGATAGCAGTGTGTGCTTCAGTTTTAGTCGCATCATTCATGCAACTTTACAGTAGTTCAAACTGGAGTAAATGCCCTCAAACTGTATTGGGCAGAAGGATATTTGAAATTAAATTGGACATAGAAGTTTTTTCCAATTTGTTAAGTGAGGATCTGTGGGCCTAATTTGAAGGGTTCATTGTGTTTTAGAGAAGGTTTTATTTATTGTCAAAGAGGGTAATGTTTATTTGGCTGATCTGTGCATCCTTTACCATCAGAATGTGTTAAAAATTGAAAAAATTGCCTTTTCATATATGAAAAGCTTGCTAGGTAAAGGCTTTTCTTTCAAATGCCCTTTTTTATATTCAGAGAAATGGTGAGTATTCCAGTTATTTTGGCTCCACTCCTGGGCTCTGAATCTCTAGTTTAGATTTGGATGGTAATGCTGGTGGAAAGTTAGCATCTGCATCTGACAGAACCAGAATTTGTTTTGCCTTCTCCAGGGTACTTTGTGGGGAAAAAAAAAAAGAGAGAGAGAGAGAGAGCTGGAGCTGAGGTTTGAAGTAATACCGTTTTCTCTAGGATGCTTTTCTTTTTTTAATTATGTATGTGGCCTTAGTGACAAGGATTCATCCGACAGAGAACCCTCTGGGCTCTTATGGAGTATGTAGAATGACAGCTTTCCAGCTTGTTTTCATTTTTCAGGCGGTAGAATTGATTTTTTTAATCAGTTTTAAAATGTAATTGGGGTAATTTTAATTTTTGACATACTGTGCAACAAATTACTTGTTTTAAAAAGAAAAGGAATTTGCCTTTGCCTGGCAAAAAGATTGTCATATTCAAACATTTTAACAAGATGACCTTTTATTCCATTGATTTCTATAGAGAATCGCAGGCATGCTTCAGAAAAGGGCAGTGATTTAATTGGAGCACACACCAGTTTCTTCTTCTAGTTGCAAAGCTTTTTGTTGCAGAGAAGATGATGAGCTTTAGGGCTGCCCATTTGTTACAAGAGAACACAATTCTCTCTCTGACACATTTCTGTTTTTCTTTCATGTGGAAAGCATTGTTTGAAGTCAACATTATCCACCAACCAAATTGTCATTATCCACACTATTTAATGTCCTCACTTTTATTTTGGATTAGGAGATACAGGTTAAAATTCTTTTTTTTCTAAAGACCTGACTTTGGAAGAAAAAAATGTAATAAAAGAGATTTTGTTAAGTCTTATATATTTATGCTTGTGTAATTTTCCTCTTTGAAACAGGATTGGCAGGTTCTCAAAATTAGTGCATAAAGTGAGGTTGAGCATGCTTTAACTGTCATTCTTGTATTTGTCACATAAGAGAATCCATGGCTTGAGGAAGCATGCTTGAGTATCTGCAGTCTATAGTTTGACCCAAACATTTACTATGCCCTATGGAAAACTCATCTGATTTTCTTTCTTTAAAAAAAAAAAAAAAAAAAAAGATTTATTTATTTATTTATTTGAAAGTCAGAACTGCGGGGGGATGGGGGGGAGAGGTCTTCCATCCACTGGTTCACTCAATTGGCTGCAGTGGTCGGAGCTGCACTGATCTGAAGCCAGGAGCCAGGAGCTTCTTTCAGGTCTCCCATATGGGTGGCGGGGCCCAAGGATTTGGGCCATCCTCTACTGGTTTCCCAGGCGATAGCAGAGAGCCGGATCAGAAGTGGAGCAGTTGGGACTCGAACTGGTGCCCATATGGGATGCTGGCACCACAGACTGGGGCCTTAACCCGCTGTGCCACAGTGCCGGCCCCTCTCACCTGATTTTCATGCTTGTTCCATCATGTATTGCAGGAGAATGTGTTTTTGTTTGTTTATTTGTTTAAGATTTATTTTATTTATTTGAAAGACAGAGTAACAGAGAGAGGTAGAGACAGAGAGAGAGGTCTTCCATCTGCTGGTTCACTCCCCCAGATAGCCACAGTGGCCAGAGCTGCGCTGATCCGAAGCCAGGAGCCAGGAGCCAGGAGCTTCTTCCAGGTCTCACACTGCTTTCCCAGGCCATAGCAGAGAGCTGGATTGGAAGAGGAGCAGCCAGGACTAGAACTGGGATGCCGGTGCTTCAGGCCAGGACATTAACCCGTTGTGCCACAGCACCAGCCCCGAACCTGTTTTTAAAAATTATAGAATGGTTTACTGGTATGAGACCTATAAATATTTGATAAATATTTAATATTATAATATTGATAA